GCAAATTTCTCAGTGTCCTCCTTACCGGGTCGGCAGTCGTCTGTCAAAATGTAGGTCTTCCTTCACACTCTCCGCACACATAAATAAGAAACCATTTGATTTCTTACAAGAAACACAAAAAGATTGGCGCAACGCTTTGACCTTCTGGTGATCTTTTCTGTTATAGTGGTACAGAACCAAACAGGTCTGATGTGCTCTGTCCGTTTTATTTTGCCGTCTGCCAGTGAGGATTCCAGCTGTCTCTATAATTATGTGTATACAGGGACGCTAGCGACTGGGTCGACTTCAGCCATCGTTCTGTCGATATCTTATCTCCAACCTTTGAAGTGAAGGTTGATACTCGGGCGCGTGGATTTCTGAGCAGACTGGCGTTCCTCCTGGTTCTTCCTGGTTCCTCAAGGTTCCTCCTGGTTCCTCTTGGTTCCTTCTGGATCCTCATGGTTCTTCATGGTTCCTCATGGTTTCTCATGATTCCTCATGGCCAGTACACAGGAACAGAGATGGGTTGGCCGTTTTCCTCTGAGAATGGCCTCCTATGAAACCGCTGTGAACATTGGAGCCTTTTCCCCAATGCCCCATTTGAACATGTACCAAATGTAATTTCTCCGCGGTGTCCAGTTTTCACACGGCAGTCATTCGAGTGGACCGACTGACTTTCAAAGGCATCTGAATTTCCTTTTGCGTGTGTGGAACGAAGGCCAGGTAACGGAGAGTTCTGGTCTATATGGGATAATGATGACAACTCCAGTTCCCCCATTACGTCTCTCTCTTTATTCCTGCCTGCTGCTGCTTCGAAGGAGGAAGTCCAAACCTGATACTTCCATTTAAGTTTGGAATCCTAATGGTCTATGACGTGTTAAAGAAGCCTGAAGTCATTTCAAATCACAGAAAGGAACACCGTAATATTTTCTAATATGTGTAATTTATTTCACGTGTATGGGTGTATATGTATACATATTCCCCGTCATATGATTTGGATTTGAACGCTCGCTCTGAGAGGCTGCTTGGTTAGGTTCTGTGTGGATCTGACACACAATCTAGACGTCGATTCTTATCTGCTTCTGTTTCTGTCCGTTTCAGTAAGACCTCGGGAGGAGGCGGGACCGTCCACGACTTCAGCGAGAGTTCATCTGAGAGCGAGGAGGACGAGGAGCAGCCGGAGCGCCGTACAGAGAGTAACACCGACCTTCCCTCTGAATACTGGCAGATCCAGAAACTCGTCAAGTACCTAAAGGTGTTGTACAGTGACCTATCCTAGACCTGCTTGTTTTCGGTTCTGCTCTGTGGAAATGGCTAACGTTCTATCAGGCAGTCCAGAACACATCACGGTCCAGAAACAGTTAAATAAATGCCTGTTGTCTGTGCAGGAGTTTGGATGCAGAGTCAGATCGATATTAGAGATATATTTTTGTAATTGTCTAAATGAAGTCGCTTCTTTAACGTAAGACTTGTGATAGTCCTGATGTTTTCTGAGAGAAACTTCCTGTAAGGTAATTGCCCGAAACATTATTCCAAATGTTTTATTTTCACCCATTTCACGACATCCAGATCAATAACACAAACTGACGTTAGGGGAAAAAAAACATATTTATAATGTGCTCCTGTTTTAAAGTGTCTGCTTTGTACTATGATTTGAAGTGGTTGGACCTGGCCTGTGGATTCCTGGTTTTTGACAGATACTAGGCCTGTTTGGGCGCACATGTGAGCCAACGCAAAGAAGTAGTGAAGCGAGCTGTCTGAATGCAGCAGCTGGACGCAATGTTTGCCCACACCAGAGAGCATAAATGAAACGCGCCTCTGAAAGCTCTGACAGTGCATATGGGGAATATTAATGTGTCAAAACACAAAAAGACAGAACCGAAACGTCAAAGACCCAGACTGACTGAATACCTCCGTCCACTGTCTAAGACGAGAGGAGGCTACCCCCCTCCCCTCCCCCCGTCTCTTGCACTCACTCTTTGTTTACCATTCTGTTTATTTGGACTTGTGCATAGATACAGTTTAGTGCCTTGACAAGATGTAACTGCAATCACACAATACTATAGTTTGTCGTACTTCGCAAATCTGGACACTGTGACTTTATCTTTACCGTAACTGCTCAGAATTCTAGCCAGTGTACTTGAATGAAGATCTGTCATAAATGCCCATTATTTATGACTAAGTTGATTTACAGTAATTAAATAATTTTTTGATTATGTCTTATCTCTAAAATCTAGCAGTGTTAAATATGAGGTTATTCAGGCTGAGACAGAGTGGTTGGCGCTGTCCTTGTTTCACACACTGTTCTGCAATTGGTCCCCCCCTAATAAGATCACTCAGAGGGCAAACAGTGGTAAATCTCCTTAAGAAAATATTCATGCAAGTTCAGCTCCAGGTAGAGATTTCTTTCAGCTTAACAAAACATTGGATAATGAATGAAAGTTCCTTCTTCGGAAAGAGCAGTGATTCTCTTTTCCAAAAGCCATTTAAAATATAAACAATATAAAAATGGTCAATTTCAGATAAGGCAACTTTAAAAAAGTTTATTCCATGTGTCCATGTTTTGTCTGTGATCGGAGTGTATTCGTGAAGGTTCATGTCGTCCATAAGATGCATTTGTCAACCTGCACTTCCCAGGCAGCATTCTATCTGTCTGGAAACCACAGTGAAGTTATTTATGGGGTTTGTCCAGCAGTCATTTTATAATATCATTACCATCAGAAGCCGAAACTAACTCGAGCCAAGTCAAATATCTGTTATATTTTAGGACCTTATTTATTTTTTTGTCTTTCGAGCCGGGCCCTATAGACAGACATTTGTCTTTTTTGAAGCTTTGATAAACCAACATTGGGATTTTATGTATGTTGTGTTTTATTGCTTTTGTTTCCCAGCATATGTAAGCAGTGTCCATACTACATGTAGGACAACGTGGTCGTAACAACAAACGTGGTATCTAGATATGCAAACAGTATACCATGTCACGTATCTTGATTCCGCTCGCTGCTGAGGTGTTTAATGGTCTTAACATGTTGCCTGCCTAAATTGCTTTAAATGTGTGTGTGTGTGTGTGTGTTGGCGTGTGGGCTTGAGGACTAAAGCATATTTTCTTGTGTTGTGTCTACAAACGAGTCATTTAGACTATACCGTATTTTTTGAAACAAGAAGATATTCTCACACCCATGTAATTTATTTTATAAGCGAAAGCTAAACTCCCTCATCAGCAATATAATTACATATATTGTACATGGCTTGTAATTCATGTTACATAGAACATCCTTTCACAGTAACTGCTCCCAATTACAATACTTTGTGCTCTTCTGTCTTTGTTAAAGTGTTCGATTATTATGTTAATTTGAAGTGATGTTTCCTGTCGCCAACACTCAGGTGTTCTCAGGTCTATTTCTAACCTCCACAGTTTACCAAGGTGGCCTCTAACCTATACTGCCACGTAAGAAAACATTTGATTAGATCTTAGGTACATGCCGTTAGTTTGACAGTTATTTTGCTGTTGTATGTCCTAAAGTAACAGATCCTTTCAGTATATATATGTGTTGTGGTGCACATTTGGATGGGAAATGTAGATGTAATGTAGCGTCCTAATTTAAACATCCCGATAGTGGCTGTGTCCCTGTCCGTCCACCATAGCAATATTTTTCAACCTGCTTGAGGTTGTCCCCCCTCTGCTGGTCAGTAGAATAACTACAAGCCCCATGTTCTCTCTGGAGAAATCATGTTCAACAATAGTTTTTTTTTTTTTGCAAAGCCATTGAAAAGAAATTGGCAAATTACTCCACCAGACAAAATATTTTTGTTGTATGAATGTTGTTGCAAAAGTCCCGAGTAAATGTCTTTGCAGAGGGTCTGTATTCATTTCTATACTTCTTATTGACAGAAACTAGCGCAAAGCAGTAAAAAGAAGTGTTGTTATTTCACTACAAGACAGCAGGGCCAATAAAGCTCAACGTGTTATTTTATAGCAGCTCCTGACTGACCCACATATGAAAATAAGAGAACAACCATGCATTCCTTCTCTTTATGTTCCTCATAATGAGAACTTGGCAGTGGAGCGCTATATGTTCCTCTACTTCTGTACCCTACACGGCTGGTGTGCTCTAGAAATGGACGGAGAGTAGAACCACATGCACCCTCCAGGCTGATGCCTCAGGTTAGTCAGGTTAGTTGCCTCTCTTTGGTGCTTGTACACTGAGCGAGGTGGAAGTAAACACAGACAGTCAAAACATAAGCAGTGCCTCTCCTCAGATGTTAGATCCAGCTTCCTGGGTCGGCACACACACACACACACAGACACATACAAACTGATTTCATCACCTAACCGGACTAAGATATCATCAACATCTTTGACGATTAGTTCAATATACCAGGGAGACAAAACGTCATAAAACAGGTTTAAATGAGTAACATCTGGTCGACCGCATTTAAATACGTTGGATACATCATAGTGTTCCATTTGTTTTAAATGTGTTTATGTATTGGACGACTGGATGTCTTTTATACAGTGGTCTTTATCGTGGGTCTGGCAGGATTACTATTGTGTAGTGTTTCTGATTAATCACGGTCGGCCACTCTGCATGTCTGGTGTAGGTTCCAGATGACCGTAACTCTTACAAACTCCCTTCATGTGAAGTCCGCTTCCCAGTGCACTCAGTGCTCGTCACCTTAAGCACTTGTCCTTGTTTCTAGTGCGCGTTTTTCGATTAACGGACCATAAGCAATTCTTATTTTCTAAATGTGTTATTGACTACATTTACCAGAACATGCGGTTGTTCGTGAATTCCCGTCATTCTTTTCCTCCTTTGTAATTCGCAATATTTAAAGATTTTCCTCTGAATGTAATTTATGGGAAGGAGCTTTAGTCATTGCTTTTGTTATTGCCAAATAACAAAGGTTATTTTAAGAAGAGTCTTAAGAAAGAGTATAGTCATCTGGAATTGAACTACTCTAAACCTCTGACTTGGCACTTGTCTGTTGTGACAAGTGTACATTTGTATTTTATTTAACTTTAATTTAACCAGCATTTTCATTGAACCCAGGACCTCATACATATCAAGCATGCACTCTACCACTGAGCTATACCAACTCCTCCAATAGGAACCCAGGACCTCATACATATCAAGCATGCACTCTACCACTGAGCTATACCAACTCCTCCAATAGGAACCCAGGACCTCATACATATGAAGCATGCACTCTACCACTGAGCTATACCAACTCCTCCAAACAAAAATACATCGGAAATACATCAAGTGTTGCTATTGTCTTTACCTAATAATAAAATATATACAATATACAATATATTACAGATAGATAATGAACAGGGACTAGATAGAGGCCAGGGGGGATATATGTCACTATATTACAGATGTATAATGAACAGGGACTAGATAGAGGCCAGGAGGTGGATATATGTCACTATATTACAGATGTATAATGAACAGGGACTAGATAGAGGCCAGGGGGTGGATATATGTCACTATATTACAGATGTATAATGAACAGGGACTAGATAGAGGCCAGGGGTGGATATATGTCACTATATTACAGATGTATAATGAACAGGGACTAGATAGAGGCCAGGGGGTGGATATATGTCACTATATTACAGATGTATAATGAACAGGGACTAGATAGAGGCCAGGGGGTGGATATATGTCACTATATTACAGATGTGTAATGAACAGGGACTAGATAGAGGCCAGGGGGGGATATATGTCACTATATTATAGATGTATAATGAACAGGGACTAGATAGAGGCCAGGGGGTGGATATATGTCACTATATTACAGATGTATAATGAACAGGGACTAGATAGAGGCCAGGGTGGATATATGTCACTATATTACAGATGTGTAATGAACAGGGACTAGATAGAGGCTAGGGGGATATATGTCACTATATTACAGATGTATAATGAACAGGGACTAGATAGAGGCTAGGGGGATATATGTCACTATATTACAGATGTATAATGAACAGGGACTAGATAGAGGCCAGGGTGGATATATGTCACTATATTACAGATGTGTAATGAACAGGGACTAGATAGAGGCTAGGGGGATATATGTCACTATATTACAGATGTATAATGAACAGGGACTAGATAGAGGCCAGGGGGATATACATCACTATATTACAGATGTGTAATGAACAGGGACTAGATAGAGGCTCACTATATTACAGATGTATAATGAACAGGGACTTGATAGAGGCCAGGGTGGATATATGTCACTATATTACAGATGTGTAATGAACAGGGACTAGATAGAGGCTAGGGGGATATATGTCACTATATTACAGATGTATAATGAACAGGGACTAGATAGAGGCCAGGGTGGATATATGTCACTATATTACAGATGTGTAAACAGGGACTAGATGAACAGGTATAATGACTAGATAGGCTAGGCACTAGATGGGGATAGATAGAGGCCAGGGGGATCACTATATTACAGATGTATAATGAACAGGGACTAGATAGAGGCTAGGGGGATATATGTCACTATATTACAGATGGGAACAGGGACTAGATAGAGGCCAGGGGGATATATGTCACTATATTACAGATGTATAATGAACAGGGACTAGATAGATATTACAGATGTATAATGAACAGGGACTAGATAGAGGCCAGGGGGATATATGTCACTATATTACAGATGTATAATGAACAGGGACTAGATAGAGGCCAGGGGGATATATGTCACTATATTACAGATGTATAATGAACAGGGACTAGATAGAGGCCAGGGGGATATATGTCACTATATTACAGATGTGTAATGAACAGGGACTAGATAGAGGCCAGGGGATATATGTCACTATATTACAGATGTACACAGGACTAGATAGAGGCCAGGGTGGATATATGTCACTATATTACAGATGTATAATGAACAGGGACTAGATAGAGGCCAGGGGGTGTATATATGTCACTATATTACAGATGTATAATGAACAGGGACTAGATAGAGGCCAGGGTGGATATATGTCACTATATTACAGATGTGTAATGAACAGGGACTAGATAGAGGCCAGGGGTGGATATATGTCACTATATTACAGATGTATAATGAACAGGGACTAGATAGAGGCCAGGGTGGATATATGTCACTATATTACAGATGTATAATGAACAGGGACTAGATAGAGGCCAGGGGGTGGATATATGTCACTATATTACAGATGTATAATGAACAGGGACTAGATAGAGGCCAGGGGTGGATATATGTCACTATATTACAGATGTGTAATGAACAGGGACTAGATAGAGGCCAGGGTGGATATATGTCACTATATTACAGATGTGTAATGAACAGGGACTAGATAGAGGCCAGGGGGATATATGGATATATGTCACTATATTACAGATGTATAATGAACAGGGACTAGAGAGAGGCCAGGGTGGAGGGGGATATATGTCACTATATTACAGATGTATAATGAACAGGGACTAGATAGAGGCCAGGGGGTGGATATATGTCACTATATTACAGATGTATAATGAACAGGGACTAGATAGAGGCCAGGGGGATATATGTCACTATATTACAGATGTATAATGAACAGGGACTAGATAGAGGCCAGGGGGTGGATATATGTCACTATATTACAGATGTATAATGAACAGGGACTAGATAGAGGCCAGGGGGTGGATATATGTCACTATATTACAGATGTATAATGAACAGGGACTAGATAGAGGCCAGGGGGATATATGTCACTATATTACAGATGTATAATGAACAGGGACTAGATAGAGGCCAGGGGGGATATATGTCACTATATTACAGATGTATAATGAACAGGGACTAGATAGAGGCCAGGGGGATATATGTCACTATATTACAGATGTATAATGAACAGGGACTAGATAGAGGCTAGGGGGATATATGTCACTATATTACAGATGTATAATGAACAGGGACTAGATAGAGGCCAGGGGGATATATGTCACTATATTACAGATGTATAATGAACAGGGACTAGATAGAGGCTAGATAGAGGCCAGGGTGGATATATGTCACTATATTACAGATGTATAATGAACAGGGACTAGATAGAGGCTAGGGGGATATATGTCACTATATTACAGATGTATAATGAACAGGGACTTGATAGAGGCCAGGGTGGATATATGTCACTATATTACAGATGTGTAATGAACAGGGACTAGATAGAGGCTAGGGGGATATATGTCACTATATTACAGATGTATAATGAACAGGGACTAGATAGAGGCCAGGGTGGATATATGTCACTATATTACAGATGTGTAATGAACAGGGACTAGATAGAGGCCAGGGTGGATATATGTCACTATATTACAGATGTGTAATGAACAGGAGCTATAGTAGAGGCCAGGGTCAAGTGTCGGGTCTCGTCTCCAAACTCTCTTACCCCTGCCAGGGGCTGCCACTGATTGGACGCTACCTTCTCCATCTCTGCATCTGCCCCACAACATGTCAGCTGGAAGAGGGTCAGATACCACCATCATAAAATATTGTCAGATGTTGTCAATGTTTTAAAGAATGTCTATAATGCTTCTCTGGACCAAAAATCAAAGCACATGATCTCCGTTCTAAACATAACGTTCCGTTTTGTTTTTTTATGTGTGCGATACAAGCCCCAATGGGTCCTTTGAAGAGTGAGAAGTGGTGTTGGAGACAAAAGAAGCAATAGATCCAGGGGCTGTTAATAGTGGAATGGTTCACATTTAGGCATGTGCCAGAATGTGGGAAACACATGTGCCCGTTATCCCCTTATCCATGCTGTGTCCGGCTACCTTTTTTTACCACATGAACCATTTGATCAAACAATAGCACAGTTCAGCCCGGTACACCACATTCTCATTTACCCGTATCCGCAAAACATCAACTGCATAGAGCCCATGAACTGCTTCTGTCCGGATTCAGAGCTGAAAAGATAATACCTTTAAAGGATTTTTTAGTCTCGTGTTAATATGTTTTTTTTTGTCTCCCGTGCGTGGGTAGAGTAATATGTTTGGGCTGGTCCTGGGTCTGTGATGTTTATGAAGTGTGCAACTAATACACGCAACTCGCAGAAGTAGTGCCTTAAGAACTGACTGTTCTCTTGGTCAATCTGTGGTTCATTTGGACAATGAGAGATAAACGTGAAGCAATACCATTTGGATTGTTCGCTCGCCAGGAGACTTCATACCGCGGGATGTTGTGTTATGAAGTCAAAGGCGTGACACATCTAATATTACACCGGCTTACCTCTGTATTTTCTACCTACTGTGTGGGACTTGTGGTAACCTCTGGTATCAGATGGTTTTGTTCTGCTGGATTATGAGCTATTGTAGATCATCTCACAACAACAAAATCAACTTACACTGCAAAAACAACAACAAGATATTGTAAAGACAAAAAAGATCTGAACATAGACATAGTTGCATCTACGTTGCGCCAACTTAACTCGTTTTTTATGCATCGCCCCTCAAAACTATGACATAATCGTTTGGATGTGTGTACAGAGTTACCTATTAGCCACATTGGCAAGAGATTACGTTGTCTGTCTTTTGATTGTCTGCTATACACATTGCTTTTGAAAAGCGAACACTAAACCCAAGCCTGTTTAAAATTCGATTCCCACATATTGAGGCACTTGTAGTGGAGCCAAACATTTTTTTTTACCCCCAAACCGATTGTTTGCTTAGTTGTAGTTACTAAGATGCTAATTGGGTGTGTGTGTGTGTGTGTATAGCAACTGTCAAAACAGAGAAAACTTTTGAAATGCTAACTCATTTTGTTTAACATTTCAATGCATGTATTTCTCTTTAATCTCTAACTTAGGACGTTGTCTACGTTTTGTAGGCACTGTGCTGTTCTTTATCGAGTAGTTTCTCTGTACCACAGAAGTAAACACTCACCAAACAGGGGTAAACAAAATAACGCACCCCAGCATAGTGGTTAAAGGGGAGCTAAGGGAGAGAGATGGGGAAATATTGAGGGGAACCTGTGTGTCCTCCATCTCATTTCACTTTTCCCTCTAATTCATTCACTCCTGGTTTCTGCGCGTCTACTATTATTTCAGGGCGGCAACCAGACGGCCACTGTTATC